TGTGTTTAGCTACATATATATGTGAGGTTACTAAAGCACATGCCCTCTCCTCAAAATACAACGCACTTGTACCTCTTCTGATGTTGCGGGTTCCATAGGTGACGCTGATCGCTTACCATCAAGTGAGTCGTCTGCACATTTACCCCCCACCCTCTCTAGCAAAATTCCCGATAAAAAATTACTCCAAAGTAGCTATGACTATAATATATAACTTTACAATAACTGTCGTGAGATATACTGAATTAACTAAAATGAACGATATATTCACGTAAACATACTGAGAAAAGCTCTACTGGTTTCGGGTTACTGTTTGACTCTTGTTCATGAGCGGCGTACGCGGACGCGGCGACGTCGTGACTCGAAACTAGTAGAGCTTTTCTCAGCTAATTTATCTATGACAACTGAACTTTGACCTACTATTTTGATATCATTAAAATCGTATTATTGCTCTCTGCTTTCTAGTTAAACCTTTACTTACTACTAATTCAAGTATAATGATTTAGTACGCTGATGATAGCCTTTCAACTTACCACTTAGGTATTGCTATCAATACTTTTCTATTTTCTATACAAACGAATTCAAACTAAATACTCTTTGTACTAGAAGTGGTAATGTGAACTTTTAAGATACTATAATAAGGTTTAGTTTTATTGTAAACTAGCTTTTACCCGCGGCTTCGCTCACGTCACAAAAGAATAAAAAGCCAATGTGATATATACCAATACACACAGCGCCATCTATACCAATACCATTGTTTTCCCTTGGGAATATCAATTTTTTCCGGGATAAAAAGTACTCTATTATTTAATCCGGACTTCTAACTATACATCTGCAAAAATTCAAAGCAATCGGTTTTGTACTTACGGCGTTAAAGGGGAACAAACAAACAAACAAACTCACTTTCCGATTTATAATATATAAGTAAGGATTGAAAACCTGCAATGAACAGAACACTAAAAATTTACCAGTGAACAATGTAACACCTACCACTATCACTATCACTAGTTATGAGTCCCATGTAATAGGGGTAAGCCTATTGCCATATGCCAGGCAGAATTTCAGACTTCGTGCTACTACTGTATTTAAAAAAAACACAGTCTTACTTTGCCCGACCCTGAAATCCAATTCGAGACCCTTTGCTCGGCAGTCGCACTTGCATACACTCGGTCAACGAGGCAGTCAGCTTACTTAATCTAAATGAAAAATAAATATCTGAAGATAAGTAAAAATCTCACAATGCACGGGTAGAAATATTTATTACAACAGAATCGAAGACTATACACAACCTAATTAATTACAATATACACAATATTTTTTAACAGGAATACATTTTGTACAATTAATTTCAACGTTGAAATACTATTAATTTCATCTTAAATATAAACCTTATGTTAATAGAAATACAGGCTCAATTTACACTGATATATCTTTAAGAACATTGCAATAAATCGTGTTTTTTATTATTATTTGTGTTTTATTAAATTAAGCTTAATTTCTAAGTAACAATGTTAAAGATTTTTTTTGTTTATTTACATTACAATAGTGTTTTTATATGACTAGTGGTTTTGACATATTTCTATTTTTCATAAAATTGGTTTGATTTTGTAAAGCAAATATGTTTTAAAACATCCCGTACCTATTACATTTAAATTTAAGAGTGTCAACTTTAACTACAAGAATAATAAGTAAAAAAAATATAACAAATATCCTATACTATTTAACTCGTTTCCCATATATGTAGATGTAAAAACCCAAGTCGTATTCACTATTACAATTTAGTACGCACTTAAAGTCATCGCACACCTAACAAGCACGGCTCCAGCACGATTACAACCTAGCAATTAACATGTCATTTAAATGTGAACTTTAAATCGTATGTCGTATGATATATTTCATAACGTCAATACAAAAAGCCGACGGCGGGTGGTCAGTGCAGTCCTCTCGACTTGTAGTTGAGGAGCCCGCGCGCTTCCAGCGTGCTTACCTACTGCACGTCGGCAGCGAGCCGCCCGCGAGGTGCCAGCGAGCAAAAAATTACTCACCTTATTATGTTACGGCCAATTTTTCTTTGCCTGTCTGAACTATTTATTTTTCTTCGTAATATATTTTCGAATATATGATAAAATGTAATAAGATAAATATTTAGGGCTAAGAAAATATATGTAGAATTTTTCTTCATCGTCTATCAAATGTCTAAAATTTTTCATGTATTTCTCTTCTGCTTTAATTTCTTTTAACATGTTATGCACCCAATATTTCTTTTTCCTTCCCGTTTGAGTGTCTCGTTCTTTTTCCAGAGCAGAGAACAGCTTTTTGTCTCGTGGTGACAAAAGCTTCTACCTCGCGGTCACTTCGCGGTCAACAACAAGCCGTCGGCACCCGGTTTGTGAGATCACTACTTACGGACGACGCGCTGTTAGCGCGCTGGCGGCAGAAAAATTCGAAACAACGTCGTACCGGAGCCGTGCCCGAACCGTATTTGTTAGGTATACGATGACTTTTACACATCATAGTTTAAACTCTAGAACTGAATTACTGTTACATCATTTTGAGGGGGTAAAAATATTTATCTATCACATTCGATAGTTGACAACGTCAATATGACACCTAGTGTCATCACTGACATCGATTAGACTAGAGTCGTTTAGCAGCAGATTTTGGTCTTCTAACAATATTGTATAAACAGCTGACCCAGTTTAAAAGCTAGAATTACAATGAATACTTTAAGCCCAGGATTTGAAATCCACCTGGATTTATTAAAACAAGTTTATAGGTTACATAATTCTGAATTCATATCTGCCAATTAGTGACTCGAATTGATTTTCACTGAAAACAAAGAACAGTTTCAGGTTGATAATTAAGTGGTTTATTTTTGAAATGTGAAATTGTGTAACTTGACTTACGTCGGCTCTATTTGAAATATTCCTCTTTAATTTGATTAAATCGTGATAACGGATACTTTTAAAGTAATAAATTGTATTAACATAATATCACTATTATAGTCTATTAATTTAATTTAAACTATGAGTAATTTAATTTTTAAACTATAAACTCTGACCTTTGAACATATACATTTTACTGTTAGACTTAAGCACCCATAGTAAAAAAGTGTGTATGTAAAAATAATGATTTACTAGTAAGAAGCCAGCCTTAATAAATTGCATAACAACGAGACAAAGAATTTCAAAAATGGATGTCACCGCGCACGATAAATAAAATACAAGAAATATAGCAAGGAACACAGCCTACAAATAAAGTAATAGCACACACACTCGCAATACATTTTCCAAAAGAGTTAAAGAAGGCAGTTATGAAGCGACCTCAGCAACACAAGTACACAATAAAAATTCAGTTCACGTAACCAACAGGATATTTAATAAAATTCCGCAGCCATTTTGTCTGCTTCATTGGTGTTAGTCTCATGTATAATTAAAGGATAAAATAGCCTATAATCTCGATAAAGATAGCCGTATCGTTACCCGGGATCAAAATTGTTAGACGCAAAATACTTGAAATTTCTACTAAGACCTTGTGACGAAATTCTCATTATTTTTCTAAAGATGTCCTTTTTTATCTGTAAGTAAAAAAAGGCATTTTTTTATTTTATAATATGAATTTCGAACGACAATCAAAGACGCGATCGTAAATACAATTTAGCGAACTTATTTGTTTGTAAATTGGTATCACTGTTCTACTGTTTCGAATTTTGAATTGACGAGAAAGGTTGCCGTTTACCGTCAGGGCAGGGGACTGCCTTTCTTCGGATAGGTACGACTTGGGAAAGTATTCATTGGAATGCCGAATGATGCTGAGGTATGTCAGAGGATTCCCTGGCATCCGAAGGACGTGTCTGGCATCGTGCAACCTTTGTTAAAATCACAGAAATATTACTGAAGAATCTTTCTATTGCGTGGTTTGTGCATAAAATAGAAAATAGACATTGATCATTTTACTCTTTTGATTTAGATATGTAGTGCTGTTGTATAAAAGATCAATGACGTGGATAAATTAAGAAATGAGATAAATAATTATCGTATTTAAATTTAAACAGTATGCAGACTAAACTCTCATATTTATACAACAAATGTTTATATTTCAAACGTGCATATTGAATATTTCACGAACAACATTCGCTTAACTATTGTTCATCTAAAACAACAACATATCATTAATAATTTAAAATAATCCCAACATTGTTGGAACATTAATTAACAACAAAGGGCTATACAACTATTTACATTAATTCAACTTGAATTGAAAACGATTTATTCGCTTTCAAAATATTCTTCTAATAGAGTAAATCCTTGCAAAATTTTACAAAAGCCAGATAATTTTAAGCGTCCCGGCTTACGATGCTCGCATTCGGAATGTTGCCCGAATCACACATCGAGTTAATCCCTACGGAGTCTCCTTTAACGAGATGAAATTTTTTGCTGTACACTCTATGAAACGTGACACCCTTAATAAAAAAGAACATTTTATTTTTAAAACAAAAGCGTGCGGTGGAGTTCTAATTACTGGCTGTTATTTATTGACATGAAATCGAGGTGACGTGTTTTCGATAAAATAAATTATATTCTAGCATTTGATACTTCAAACGTATTTTTATCCATCAATTTATAGAGTTGGGGTTTAAAAATTGATGGACCAGATATGTTATTTAGTTTTAATGGTGTAGGTATTATACTGTATTTGTAAACCAACAATTTTGGAAAATCGTGGCATTGATCTGTGTTCTACATTTTCCACATGCGTAACTGCATGGTAACAACGCAGTAAAAAACCTTATAAATGACAGTAATCAGACAGTATAAGAGCCGAGTTCAATCACACTCATCAGGTAAATGAATACCTTTACATATTAAAAGGCATCTTATTATACAATTTGTATAGACGTTATAAGCAGAACTAATACGGTTAATGGACCTATGTATTCACATGAGCATGTCACAACGAAACAAAAACCGAACATTTTCCATTAATTAAACAACATTATACCATCTAAGAATCACACCGCACACATTAAAATATAAAATGGCGAAATACAACAGCTACATTTAGAACAACAAATATATTAAATCTGTACACGAGAGATACACTAGTTAACGTCTAATATCACAAATATTTTTGTCTCATACTTACAAATTAACACAACAGCATTAATACAACTAAAATTAAACACGGAGATATTTTATCGACATTGGAGAACGCTTTGAGTCTGATCTCGTTCTGTACTGGGTGGCCGTACTCTTCAGTTTGCATCAGCTCTTTGGGGCACGGAAGAGTTTCCAGGGGAATATCGATAAGTTTCGTAGCTTTTTTGGTGAATTTCCTTTCGGAATACTCTTCGGTTTTATCATAATAGTCGTAAGTGTCTTCGGGTAGGGCATTATCTTTGGCGCTTTCGTTATCTTCTTGGTCGTTCAAGTGCCTGTCGACAGTTAGGTCGGTGACACATGATACTTTCTCGAGAGCCTGCCTTAGTGTGTTGTCTCGCGTCTCGTTGCGTAACGCGTAGATCCAGGAGAGGCGGCAATTACAGTTGAGTGGGTTACCTGTAAAGAGAAAGCGTGTTAACGTGTTTGTTTTAAGGGTACGTTTATTTTCTTGTACAATTTTTTACGTTTACGTCGGTTTCAATGTGAGGCTCATTTGTCCAAAAATAGATTGAGACCCGTGTATAATGATCAAACGAGAATGTTATTTCAGTTGTGGGGAAGAACAGTTTTGTTCTGAGATTTGTACTCGTTGGTTTTCCTTGTATATTTTAGAGACTCATTACAGAATATAATAAATAGGCCTTCATGAGACATACTGAATTAACTAAAAATCGCGGGCACTCATGTGAATATACTGAGACAAGCTCTACTAGTTTCAAACCACAGAGGGGTTCTTCCGCATGAGCAGCGTGCGCGGTCGCGGAGATATCACGCAGCCTACTGGCTAGCGTTGGCGCTCGCATCGGTGTTACTGCTTGCACATCTAGCCACCGGAGTTGGAAGCAAACGCTCGTGATGTCCGGCAGAGGGCACGTTGGGCTAGATGCGTAAGAACCCCTCTGTGGTTCGAAACTAGTAGAGCTTTTCTCAGTAAATTCACGTGAGTAACCCGCGATTTTTAGGTTTTTTTTTAGGCTTCGTACCAAAAGTGTAAGTAAATAAATGTTAGGTTCTCCGCGACGGCCTTCCAAAGACCTAAACTTCGAATTTATTACAACAACAATTAAAACATTTTTTTACTGTAATAAAATATTTTAAGCGTTGTACTAAATAGTTTAGCTCCACTACAAGGTGAAACTAAACAAAATTACCTAAATACAATTAAAACTTTGTATTTCACTCTAATTGTTAGAAGTTGATGAAGAGTTGTCATCCCTTAGCATAGGGTTGTCCTATCAATTTAATTTATTAATTAAAATGGTTCTAACAAAGGCGTACCCGAGTTTTCCAGTGGTTTAGATTTAGGCATTGACAAAACCGTATTATAAATCAAGTTTCAATGTATTGGGTAAAGTTATATGGTTTCCTATGGGCGTATGAAGGGACCCAGTTTCTTTCATGAAAGTGAACCGAGGTAATAGGTCGAGAAAATTCTGTGGTGGCGTGCAAACCGCGAATGTGTTTAGTGCTCACCGCATAAATGCGTGTCAATGCAGTGTGAAGTGTTAATGGGGCGGTCACTGTGATTTATGTGTGCCTTCTACGGCTATTGTTTTAATGATAAACTGGAAAAGGTAAAGTTTGGATGTGAATATAGAAGAGATGAATAATTTTGGATATATTTCTGCATGTTTTACTGGTAGTTATAAATTAAATAACATACATACATAAGTTTACGCCTGTCTTCCATCCAGGTAGGACACTATGGAACGCCAATTGCTACGATTTCTACCTAAATTTTTCGCAATCATCATCATCATGATCAATACTCATCAATATTTTCATGTATGCTCGTAAGTTAAGGGTACTTTTAATTTGGCCCTTCTTTAATATGTCACCTATCTGGTCAGTACATATCTGTCTACGGTGCCCTCTACCGACGGCCCCTTTCATATCCGCTCTGTATACTTCTTTCGTTATTCTACCTTCATCCATCCTTTCTACATGTCCAAACCAGCGTAACATTCCCTTTTCAATCCCTGTCAATACCTCTACATCATCTTTCAATCCACACCTTTCCCTAACAATACTATTTTTCACTCGATCACTCAATTTTAAAGAAATTAAATAAGTTATAATGTGAAAAACATTAAGCTAAATTCAAATAACTTTTTCCCTCAATTCGGCTAAATATATTTGGATTCAATAATCTTTAAGATCCAGAGAATAAATCATTTCAGAATTAAGGTATCATTACTTATACGTAAACGTCTCACCCAAACTCAAACTCACAGTCGCCGTCTCAATTGATCCTAATACATTTAACATGAGACCATTGTGGTACTGTATCTAGTCTGCATAATAAACGACGCCATATTCAAATCGGTCCTCAGATCTTGCATCTGTTTCAATTCATTAGTTTGTGAGACGTTCAAAGGTACTAATTCATTTGTGTTGCAAACACGAGCGAATAGCGTTTGTTGCTTAAGAAGTGCTCAAAATGAGGTTTGCTTAAGAAGTGGTTGGTAGGCAATCAATGTAAAGAAATGACTATGAAGTATTTTTAAGGGGAGAAAATCATCGAATGACTTCTCCCGCCTGGGTGAGGCGGGAGGGAGTGTCAGACTCTTACTGACTAAAAACCACCCCGTTCCTACTCCTGCACTTCAAGACGGAGCCCCGGTAACCCGTTAGGTTCTCTACGGTTCGACTATGAAGTATAACCTAATTATTTGTTGTGAGATTGAAGTGCCGATTTTTCAATCAATAGTTAATTCTTAACTGTAGAATAAAATAGACATTTAATCGTTATTAGTATGGCACATTTTTCAAATATTAAAAGGTTTTCCTTTGATAAAATTTAACCGGCCGGCGGCCTTGGGAAAATCGGCCCTTATTCAATTACTTATGTTGTATTTACGTGAGCTTTGTGACGTTACTGTTTCGCGTCATTTGTCAGATAATGCATTATGACTATGAGCTCCAAGCTGGCTTGAAACTAGTTGAGATAGCTCGTCAAACAATTATTTGTTTATGACGTAATTATGTAAATAAGACATAACTATGTAATTAAAGACAAGTAACTATTATCTCTGGTACATACTTTAGTTACAAGTTTATACTTATTAATGTGTTCAGTATTGTTACAATTACTCAAACCGTATTAAGGGAAAACTTCAATATACTTAAAACTCCTACATACTCCAACCCAGAGATATTTGGGTATACATAGTACCCACGTACCTATATCTAAGTCCTGCCCTTACGTAACAGATTGCAATGTTTCACACACACCAGCACAGGCTTGTTACAATCAAGTTAGCTCACAAGACTGGCTCAGTCGAGCCGCGGGCGACCATTACTCTCATAAACCTGTGTACACAATGTGTGATCATGGGACTGAGGTGTCACTTGATAATAGAGTAACCTTGGAGTTTCTTACTCGACTTTATGCTTTTGAACAATTATTAAGGTCTAGAAAAGCAATAATTTTTATTGCAAACTGGTAGGTACTTAGTATTTGATTTAGATTTAGTTATAATGTCAAAATTTATTTCACAATTATTCTTAGGTTCAGCTGTAGAGGTAAAATACGTGAAGGTTTTTATAGTGAGATGGCGCAGGTATAGAAGAAAATTACAAAACCTTCTAATAGTTTAGAACATAATCAAAAAGTAATTTAGCAATAATGAAAATTAACAAAATATAACTAGTCTGATATTCAAATTGTGGAATAAAGACAGCACCATTTATTTCTCCAATTTTTAAAACTCATGAATATGTGTAGTTACACTATACGTTTTACAAAACAAAGCAACTATAAGGTATATCTATAAAAACACAAAAATATCTCAACTTGTTCAACACATATTGATTTTAATTTGTTCTGAATGTTAAGGGAAAAGGGTTGAGCGAGGGTCTGAATCCGAGCGTGGGTACATCCCTGTTTAGTCACGTCACTCAACATGGTAGGGCAACCACCGCGTTAGCCATTTAGCCAGCCCGTTCACGCCTCGAAAACGAAGCCCAATATCTAAGGCTGGGTTCTTAGCTACGTAAACCTTTATGAGCCATTTTTGTAGTGCTTAAATTTTATTTCCCTAATCCAACGTAGTGCGGCCGTAGTTTCAGCCAATTTGTAAGAAAATATCTTTTGTACCTAGCTATTTAATATCACATTGCCTTGTCCATTCCAAGGAAATATTAAAGTAATTTTTAATGGATTATGAAAACAGTTGACTGTATAATAACAATTTTTAATGATAATTGCTTATGGTTATGTTAAATTCTTTAATTTACCTTTCGGCTCGGGACCGCCATTTTGTAATTGTTAATTTTGTCCGCAATAACAAGGAAGGTAATTCAAATATTTTGCTCTGAATGTAGTAATAATTGCGTGTTGTTTGTTTTTCGAAACGAATGGATTATTTTAGGTTTATATAAGACTTTGAATGTTTGTTATTATAATGAAAATTATATTAAAGTTTTGTTATTGTCTGTTACCTATTTTAAAATGTAAATAAAAGTTGTTTTTATTTCTAAGTAAAAACATTTCGGGTGGAAACAGAAACTTTATGGTAAATTCTCTCTGTAAAGAATATCATTTATGGTACTTGATGGCAGACTGCTAGCGATGAAAATTTATATTTTTCTATTTATATTCAATATATTGAGCGTTACGTTTTATAATATAACATTATTATTTACGTCAAAGAAAGGATACATATTGTAAGTATTCAGAAACTATATGAAAATACGAGTATAACGTAATTCGCACTTAGCCTATAGACAAAGTAATTACTACAGTAAAGGATTAGGTACTCTAGATAGTAGATAGGAATATATAAATCTATGACCAGGTAACAAAGACACCGCGAATATCATAAACGGTATCAAAAATCAATATTCTGTATCTTAAATGAAAAAAAAACATAGGTTTTATTTTGCAGGATTAATTTTTTTTATTCCTTCGCTTTGCTTAGTAGAAATATTTACCGCAATTAGACAAAAACATGTTAATATTTACCTAAAATATAACCTAGTAGGCTACATCTGTACCTGGTAACTAATGATAGGTACATTCCCCAGGCAAATCGGATTTAAACCCGTATTTAGCAAACTGCGGCGACAAGATAGGACTCGTACATTAATATACAAATTAAGTTCTCTATTAATTTATTTAATGTTTGTTATATTATATGCTTTGCCTACATACGTTTCTGTTTGTCAGTGCAGGAGCAAAGAGTCTTTTTTTTAAGGGGGAAAAATCATCGAATGACTTCTTCCGCCTGGGTTAGGTGGGAGGGAGTGTCAGACTCTTACTGACTAAAATCAACCAAATTCCTGCTCCTGCACTTCGAGCCGGAGCCCCGGTAACCCATTAAGTTCTCCGCGACTCCGTATCGGCATCAGCCCTGTTGGGCCCCATCTGTGGTGGTCTGATTGCTTATTGAGCG